TTACTTTAAATGACCTAGGTAACGGACAAGATACAACGGTAATCTGGGACTTAACACGAATCCAGATTTCGGAACGAAATCGGGAAGAAGAGTCAGATATCCCATGAAGCATGTCGGAAAATGACTCTACCTTGTTCAGTCCCCTTCTCTCTCCCGAAATACGCCGGAGCAGAGGAGAAAGAAGAAATATGTGAGACCATCCCACCCGCCCTACAAATACTAATTCTATTAATGAACTTACTGATCATTCAAACGCTTTGGGTCTGGGCATATTGCGATATGTATCCCAGCCCAAAGAGTTACTTCACGGCGAGGTCCTCCTGTCGGTGCAGGAGGCCTCACTCAACCACATCCAATACTTGCATTGAATGATATAGGTGAAGGACAAGAATACAACAGAAACCTCTTCCATGGAAGCCACAAGTTTTCTTCGTCCATGGAAGCGCAATACAACATTTCCATGGAAGTGATATACACTTCCATGGAACTAGGGATATGAAAACAATGTGAATGTGCCACTTCCTGGAAGTGAGCTTCCACGGAAGTCTCATTGAAATCCAATGGAAGTGGAACAATTTCCCCAAAAGTCGAACCTTAGGCTTCCATGGAAGCTATTCAAAATAAGTTCAGGGCGGCTTCCATGGAAGTGTTCTGCCTCGGGTTAGCTTCCACGGTCTTTTCTGGGTAAGGGTTGGGTTAGGGGAGGGAAAATGGAATTACCACATGTCCAAATGATTCCGTGGTGTTGCTTTAGGTTAGGGTTAGGGTTTTAGGGGAGCTAGAAAGACCACATGCCCAGAGGCTTCCAGGAAGTTGCTTTCATAAAAGTTTCGGTGTTTCCGCGGCAGTTGGTTTCGACCCCTGTCCCCCACTTCCATGGAAGTTGCTTTCATGGAAGTTTTCGTGCTTCCATGGATGAAGCAGAGACTCCGTCGAGCGACGAGCGTACTTCCATGGAAGCTCGTAGCGCTTTCGAGTAAGTCCGAAATGCGGCTTTCACGGAAGCAACGAGCGTTTGATATCGGGTGCTTCCATGAAAGCGGATCAACTTCCATCGAAGTTGTTTACCACTTCCATGGAAGCATCATGGAAGCTGGAACCCGAAGAAGACGAACAGATTTCATGGAAGTCAAATTGATTTCTATGGAAGCCACAAGACTTCCATGGAAGCCATCTAACTGCCATAGAAACCATCTAAATTCCGTGGAAGTCGCTGTTGCCTTTCATGAACGTGACAGTGACTTCCATGGAAGTTAATTTCGACTTCCATGGAAGCTTATTCCATTGTCAAAGAGTGTAGGTTACCCGGTTTGTGCCATCGAACGCGTGAAGGAAATCCCGGAAACGCATTTGAAATACAGGGCGGCTGCCGCTGTAAGTGGTTATTGCCAGCGTGCGTCAAGGAGATCTAGCTACAAAGAGCAAAGCAAGAGATGCATCGTGCCGTTTGTGCGGCGGAATTACGGTTAACGGTTGAAGGACCAAAAAATGATGAGGGAGGAGAAGGACGAGACGGAGAAGGAATACCAGTATCTACGGGAGAATGATGCACCGGCAGGAGCGATGGCTGTCGGGAAAACGACTGCCAGGGCAGCTGGTGGAGCTGGGCTCGGTACACAACGGGTGAGCATGATGAATGACGGGAACCGTGCTTTAGAGCGGGTTCAGAAAGCAGCGCCCCAAATCCGTAAAGATTCGACGAAGGTCGTGAGTTGGCTGCGGAGAATGCGGAACCTGGCCAGCGAGGGTACGGAGCAGACGCTTAGACATGACTATATTCCTGTCATCAGCTATTCCGATCGCACATATCTGAACCGGGTTCATGTTGAGGCTCTTGCTACGGCACATTTCTGCTAGAAGCGACCTGCGTCACGGTTTTCGAAGAACGGTTACAATAGCTGCCTTCAGCTGCGTCCCTGAGGCGTGGAGGGTGATCCACGAACGGCTTTTGCCTACTCTTGACCCTGAAAAGGCAATGCTTGGGAGGCGACGTGAGACCACTGAGATGTGTCCCGACGAGGATCCGAAGCTTTTCTTCGCCATAGTAGACGTATTCGTCAACATCATGAAAGCTGTTGACATCGTTAGCGGGAAATCGTGCACACCATTGTCCGCCAGCTTTCACACGAACACGATATCGAACACACAAGTCCATCCTGGCAGACCCCACCACTTCCCGAGCGAGGGTGGAAAACGTTGTTCGCACGGCATACGCCAACAACGTCATGATTGAGGAATTGGGCAAAGGGCAGGCGTCGTCGGCGGCAGCGGTGACGGTCGGTGGTTTTGGGCACGGTCATAGAGGCGACGGTAAGAAGGGGCAACGACGGTGGTGGCAGCAGTGGCATCAGCATCGGCGGTGGGTTCATCCACAACCACCACCTGCACACCACCCACCTCCTAACTTCCCGACGTGGGGATCTGGGGTGCTCTATGACTGTGGAGCAACGCCGTTTACCCGCGAGAGGAGTCACATTTACCCACGAGAGGAGTCAGCTCCGCCGCCAGGTGCTCCGACGGGTGCCGTTCATCGGTGCGTGAAGTGCGGGAGGCATGGACGCTCACTCGGCGACTGCAATGTGCCACGACGCCTTGAAGGCAACTGTACTGCAAGTTTTGAGTATAGCCATCGGCGCCGCATGTGTTGTATGATCGACCGCATGCAACAGCACGCGTACGTCGGAGATGGAGAGGGTCTCAACGCGGGTGGCAACGACATCATGCCGTACCAGCAACGGAGGCGACGACGCTGGAGGAGGCAAAGGCAGCGTAGCCGGCGACCGTCGGAACAGCTCCCGCAGCTTGGTTCGCGGGGGGGCGGCCGGAATCCCCGCGTCTGCAGCCCGAGCAACCGTACTCGCAAAGGACTCGACCGGAGGCGCCGCTCCCCGTGTTTGCAGCTGGAGCGGTAGTAAGGGGAACAGCACCTGTGGCGGGAGCGGCGACGGGTGGTGGTGGTTTCCCCCCCACGGTGGCGGGGGGAAAGGTCGGGGCGCAGGCACTCGCGACTGAAGCGACAGTATCGGTGGTGGCACCTGGGGCGGCACGTGCGGCGGTTACGTTCCATGAGGGAAGAGGTTCCGCAAATGCGGAGACGAATGGTGGGCCAGAACCCGGCCCTGTATGTGCCGTCTGCCGCATCACTTGCGTCGTCAGCAGGCATGGCTTCAGCGATGGAACCAACCGTGGCGACCGCGACAGGTATTGGTGTTTTCCCCGATTCGTCCATGGGGGGAACGGCCGGAGCACCGTCAGCAGCTGGAACGGTGGCACTGGAGGCGTCGTCGACCGTCGGCCCGGTAGCCCCCGCTGTATCAACCGGGGGGGGGGGCGTCGCACCGCCCACATCAGCAGCTACACCGGCACCAGCAGCGCAACATGCGGACGAGCGCGATGTGGATAGCTGCTCGTTGGACAATCGCGACGAAGACAGCGGCAACATCGGCGACAGCAGCAGCGGCGGCAGCATCGTGGGATTATCACCTGGTGCGGGGCAGGCCGGCTTCCATCCGACCGTGTTAATGGCATCTGCATGGTGCGGGACGATGGGGGGTAATGCCAGGGAAGGACCCTCGATCGTGGCAGGGAGTGTGCGGCATGAATTGAGAGGCTTCGCGCTCGGGAGATATCGTGCCAGATGACCGATAGTTGCACCATTGGTCTAAGCGCGATTAGGAACGTTTGTGAGAAGTATTGTGTAAATTTAGTCATGCATGTTCTAAGTTCCGTCTTGTTTAGTTTGTTGAAATTCATGAGTTTGATAACTGTGTCGATGTAGACTCTACGTTGCGATGCGCACGAGCATGGTGTTTGATCTGTGGTTATATTGTGTTTTCATTTTTTGAGGATGGATATGGTGTTGAATATCAAAGAAGTCACCACGCCAAATAGTGTAGTTGATTTTGTTGGATCACTGGTAGCACTGCTGCTGTCAAAATCACGGGGGAGGATGAATGTGATGCTGATGTCAAGATCCTCGATGCAGTATCTACAAGCAGAGTTCTAGCACACTCCTGATATTTTTGAGCGGGAGGCAGTCGTGACAGCTCGGGGAATTTTTTTCTTGTTGGGCACAAATCTTGGCATCCGATTTGTGCGTACGTAGTTGGTGAATTGGGCACATGGGGCTCCAGTCTACCGAACTTCAATCGCACATACCTACAGTATACCCGACACACAGCGTTCCTCTTCAAGGGGTGCCCTAGTGCGGGCCCGCAGGTTTTGAAGCAAAGTTAGGGAACCCGCACCACGGGCCGCAGGCCCGACTCCAGCTTCCCTCATGAGAAACATTTCGAGCGCACCTTCTTCGTCAGATGACGAAAAAACATTTGAGCGGAAATATGTTTCGCCGTACGCTAGAACATTGTTTTGGACCCTTGTTCTTGCCGTCAGGTAAAGATTTTAGCTGTAACATTCTCTCATTACCCTCTCCCCGACACATTCACGATGAAGAACAAGTGAAACCTGCACGTGAATTCATACATTCTCTATGATGAGTGATTTTCTGCAAAAAGATGCCGAACACAACTTTCTACCTGCTGCGGCGGCTCCATTTTTGGCCCGCCCCGCCCTGCCTCAACTCCATCAACCCCAAACATCGTTTTTTTCGTACAAACTGCCCCCCTATCGGTGGGCCTGGAAAACAAACTTTTACGTACCAAAAGAGGAAGCAGGTGGGAGGAACTTGACATCATGACATTGATCAACACTGAATTAAACACGTAGACAGCCAGCGATTCCGGAAGATGCGGCACCCTTGCAAAAGAGGGCGGCGACTCTGTACCTCTGCCGGCATTTTCAGGGGTGAACCGCGTTTGTGTACGAACACAATTGGCCCCACATCGACAACATATTCCACGAACCTTCCCAAACCCTCTTTACGATGACATCGATGCAGGAACTTTCGTTGGCATCCATACGAGAAAGCTGTACGCACGTAGAAGGTGAAGGTCTGTTCTTGTTGCCTTCCTTTGGCTTGGGCCGGTGTATCCACCACTCACTCAAGGTGTCACGAAGATGAGCACCTGGTGTTGGTGGACAGCCAAATACAATGCCACACACAGAGACAGGGGGAGACGACAGGGAGGAGGGACGAGCGATTGTTTCGGAGACGCGTATGTCTGAAGATCGTACCGTGGTATTCTACCTGTGGAATAGACTCGCTCGCTGCCGCCGAACGGTCTACGGATGAACTGGACAAACACGAGAAGCCTTGGGATTTCAAGCTTTGCATTGCAAATGGCATCCATTGGATGCTCCGCTAGTGTTTCTCCCGCTCGACAGAGTTCGGGTTCAAAGTAGTAACCATAGAAGATAACGTTCCTCTGTCGAAGCCTGAGCTTCGCGACAAGCAATCGTGGACGCAACGCTCACCTCGATGAGACTGATCCATTCGTCCGAAAGAAGAGCGGTGGACTCGAGCATCACGGTGCTGGCCTCATTAGCCGTCACACCGAGCGTGTTGAAGGTGGAATCGGTGTAGGACTCGTGCGTGTGGGTCAGCTCGCCGTTGACGTGGACCTGTGGCGGGGAAGGTTCGCGTGCGATAAAGATCAAAGTCTGCTTCGAGCGCCGCCTGTGTGTATCGCCGAAGGAAGCCGCTTGGGATGGGTGTCAGAAGTATGGACACGATAGCCCGCGTGGAGGTAGGTCAACAACCCGCGGCGTGTGTACTTTCCCCACTCAATCGCTAGGAGAATCACAACTTCCAAGATCTCTACTGTTGCGAAGGGTAGTCCTCACAGTTCCTCACTGCTGTGCTGTTGGGGGCTAACAGCAACGCAAAAAGAGAGCTTGTTGGTAGGACAGAATACGAGGTACTTTTTCCATTTGCTTGGTGTCGTCCTCACCCCTAGGGTACGGGTGCGGTCGTTGCCCTTCCAGAAGGCGACCTGGATGTCCACGATGTGTTGGGGTTCGGCAAAGGTGAACTCGATCTGGCAGGGCCCTTCGTCAGGCACGAGCTTCGTGGCGCACGACCACCTCGACTCGATCTCGGAGAAGATACCATCGCGGGTGTTGGTCGCCGTGCAGCCAAGGCCACCGACCTCGCCGCACCCGACGTCGCCGCTGCTGTTGCCCGGCCGCGTGTCGTGGGCGGTGGCCGATACGCCAACCTCGATCTTGGTGCCCACCTCGACAGCACCGTCGACCGTCGGCAGGGACTCTGTCTCTTCCCAAGGGACGAACTCGTACGACATTGGCTCGTTATCGTCGTCGGAACTGAGGTCATAGTCATCGCTCCCTGTACTTCCTTCGACAAAGCAGGAGGCGCTGGGATCTTTGCAGTCGAAGAAGGTGCTCTCGCTGCACCAGGCGTCCCTCTCGTGGCATGTGCAAGAGCAGCAGTCGCCACCGTCGTAGCCTAAGAGAGGGAGAGGCAGACATAAAGTGCCGAAGTATCACAGGTGATTAAGCTTCAAGTCAGGGAGACGAGGGGACGAGTTGTGGCCGAGAAGGAAGAGAGACAACCAAAACGAAAGCCACCAGAATCGCAAGAAGATACGGAGTACGGTACGGGACAAGCACCACGCTTTGTGTTTCGTGTCGTGTACCGGCACCACCGGGCCCGATGTGGTGTTGATACTGTCGCTGAGTACATATTTGAAAGCAATCGATGGCAAGCGCAGGAAAGGGGGAGTGCCCCTACCATTCTCTTCACACCCACACGAACTAAGAGCGTACATTGCAAAAACGGGAGAAGGGCTGGGAAAAAAACCCACCCTATGCAGCTTGACGACGAAGCAGTTGCTTGCTAGAGAAGAGAAAGAGAGAGCTGGTCCAACCCCAACCCTGAATATATGTATGTATTGGTAGATCGCCGCCAGCGTGTAGGGTTCGAAATCGAAAAAGGCGGAGACGAAGGGGAGAAAACCCCACAAATATAGCGGGCGTTCCTTCTTATTTAGTCGGCCGGAGTGCTTCGACCCTTGCTGACGCCTCGCGTACAACGGGTTTGAGACGTGTCTGCAAAGATACCAGGTGATATCGTACTGTGTGCTCACGTCGTCGACGTCAGGAACGAAACACCACTGTACCGCTACAACGCAACAAAGCTAACAGGTACACCGAGCTTCGCTAGGTTCAAGTATCGCTTATGGCCCAGGATATATATGTGGTGTAAGACAGCGAAAACAGCACGGTACGACGTATCGAAGATGCACATTATCAAAAGGAGCGCGGCTCTGACGCCTTTTCCCATCATGGATCGTTCTTTGGATCAGCATGTCTTCGTAGTGTGGAGGAGCAAATGGAGGCCACAACAGTGGGTCAACCGTTCGTGCCACGCCAGATGAATGTTCTTCGAGTTCTCGGATGAGTTTCAGCGAACGCAGGTGTACGGCAGTTGGTCCTTTAAGGCAACCGTGAGAGCGAGGTCAACCCATATTTTCGAAGCTCGATTCCGCCACAGCGGAGAGAGTTGTTTGTTGTTGTTGTTTTTGCTGTTGTCTTCACAATAAAAACGTTTCCGTTCTCTCTACCCAGTACCTTTTTCTGCCGTACTAGTCTAGCACTTGACGCGGTCGATTCCCGTGGTCACAGGCTAACTTACCAAAAAGAATATAAGTAAAAACATAATGGATCCGAAGGGTCCGCAAGTCAATATAAATCAACGACAGATAGTCTAGGACATTCCGCTGCCTCTACACGCTATGCTAGGTACCCATTGAAACCAAGAAAGAATGAGAGAGAGAAAGAAAGAGTATGTGAAAGAAAAAAAAAGTGGCCGGGTCGAAATGGTGGCGTGGGAAGCACAAGATGGCGGCGTTAAACCGCACAAGATAGCGGCGTCAAACCGTCTCGCCGAGCGCTTGCCGAAAAACCGAATCGTTTGATTTTTTATTCGCTTCGTCGTGGTCTAAACAAGTTCTAAAAGTCCATCCAGGGAGATCGATTTGTTGTGTCACCTATGGTGTGCGTGTATCTGTGGAGCTGGCTGGTGTTGGTGTCGACGACCGAAAAGCTGATACACAACCGAACTTTCGGCGAGACCCCTAGACCCCACGGCTTGTATGTACTTGTTATGGTCCCCCTCCCTGGAATCTTGGTGTTCAGGGGTGGGCGCCGTAATGGACGAGCTGCCGGCAAAGAGGGTTTCCCCGGCATACGGGGGGGTATTGTTGGAGATTCTCTGTGGAAAGCAAGGCATGCACTATTCTTGTGCACGGTGTTTTTCCGGTGCGTGTTGGGCTGAAAGGTTATCTTCAGGCTGCTACGACAAAACACAAGGCATCGGGCTACACGTGGTAGGACAGAGACCTACCGCACGCCTCGTTGTTGTTTCCTTCGGTACACCAGCCGTTTCCGACGTCGATAGGGTATTCGCAGTTGACGAACATGTCGACGGTGATGTCATCGTCGTTGACGCAGGCTGCCTCTGGATCGATGCAGGCGAACGTCGTGCAAGCCCAGTCATAGTCGAAATCGTTCTGACAGGAGGGTGAGGGTAAAATGGAGGTACCATTGTTTAAACGGTGGCAAGGGGCAGCGACAAATTACTGGGGGGGGAAAGATGAACCAAACTCAGAAAATACTCCCTACTTCTCAACAAGCTCGATTCAGGGAAAAACACATCGCTCCCTTCACTTCCAACAGAGTCAGGGTCATCTCAACGGGAACGTGAAATGTCGCGACCAACCCTCGACGGCAGAGGAAAGCGAGGTAGGCGTATGTTAAATTGTGGTTTCGCTGTGGAATGGGCGACAGTACTTGCCGGCTGGTTGGGGACGGTCAAACTGTTGCAGGTGTAATTCAAATTTCGAAGTTCCAAAAACTTTGCAAAACGTAAGCTCAGAGCCCGCCATGGACTTCCGTGTGTCTGCTGTCCGCGGCTTCCGGCCATCTTGCATTGGGCAGGCTGCCAGATATGGTGTTGTGATTGAAATATGGCTGGTTATTTCTTCCGTTTCAACGTGACTTGCTTGCGTTTCAGGGCTCGATGAAGGACCCCCGGACGCTCGCACAAGCCCGTCGCAATAGTTGACTTCATACATTGTCCGTCGCTGCATCGATGAAAGAACATTCCTTCCAAATTGCCGTGGGAGTGTTCGAGCAGAAAAAGAAAACCACTTTATCAACAAGACACAGCGAAAGTTCCTACAGTAGCATCCAAGAACAACGGGGGGCTAGCTAGCGCTCGTGTGAATCATCCCTACCTGACAGGTGCACGAACAGCAGTCACCGCCATCGTAGGCTGCGGAAGTTGGAGAAAAAGAACGTGGGAGGACAGGCAAGAGAAAGCCATCGGAGTATGATTGTGCTCGTGTACACCGTACGCCACGTGTATATTCGTGAGACGAAAAAGGAACGAGTCAAATTGAGAAGGGGGGCGCCCAGCAGTAGAACCATGTGGAGCAAAGGCATCACATTCTACATAGCGTTTCTGACGTACTATATTTGGCCTCGTTATCCACTGGCGGCGACACGAGTGCGTCTGAGAGCGGCAACGTCGAAGGAGCCTGCCCAAGCGACGTAAGAAAAAACCAGGTGTACCACACGCATTCATAGTCTATAGCTCCTGTATGACCTTCCTCCCGCGTGACCCATGCTGGTACGTAAACCATGTAAGACCAAGAGGTGTGTGGACTGGCGCCGGGAGAGTAGACGGGACGAACACACACGCTCACCGTGAGCTTGCCACAACAGCTTCCAAGATGAGCAATGAATCGAGCTTGAGACCTTCATGGACTTCGGAGCCCACTTGAGCGCTTGTATCCATGGGAAGCAGCTGATCCACAAAGGCCGTCAAATGTCTAGCCCCCGCGCCAACGTCACCTTGAAGACACGCACCCCTAAATCAATTTCCAAGAGCGTCCTTCACGTTCGCTACGGTTGATGAAAACGAAGTTCTCGGGCCAAGACCTACCGCATTCCGGCGTGTTGAGATCTGAACTGCAGTACCCGTCGCCGATTTCCTCTGCATCGTCGCAATTTTCGATCATGTCGACAGTGACGATGTCATCATCCACACAGGGAGCGTTTGGGTCGATGCAGGCGAACGTGCGGCAGGCCGAGCCATTGCCCTGGTTCCCCTAGGGGCGAGCACAACAGGGATAAAAATTGCGGCGGTTGCTCAGCCACGAGAGAGAGACGGGGGGAAGAGGACCACTCTAGCAAACACCGTGCTATCTTTCAAAGCCCTTGGATACGGACGTGCCGTGAAATGCACCTCGCACACGTAAAATTGCAGGGACAATTGGCGGAGGCGTACCTTTTTCGAAGGTGGGCAAAACGTGCCAGAAAAATATCCAGTTTGAACGAAAAGAGCAGGGTCAAATGGAATGCCCATGAAAACAAATTGCCGACTTCTAAGTGTTTCACAGCTGGCGCCTGTACCCGTATCCCCACCTTAAAACAGAACGAAGCGCTTTTTCAGACCTGAAAGAGGAAAGTTGGACAACTCTAGACAAGCTTCGGGGCAGCGGTATCTACTAAGGGGAAAAAATCTCAACATCTCTCTCAGATCCACGCACTTCAAGCGCGTTTGCATTCTAGGTGAAACAACAGCAGCGAACCCCCGTACCTCGCAAGTGCATTTGCAGCAGTCGCCGCCATCGTACCCTGAGGACAAAAGGATAGTGAAACATCGAGGGGGAAATACAAGCGGGGAAGTGTCGGGCGAGAATGCTATTGGCTGGTTGCGCCTGATTCTCGGGAAAATACTTCGAATGCGGCGAATCTGGCATGCCAATGCCATACAAGGAAAAAAGGAGATGAGGAGCTAATGGATTTGGCACTGTTCATTACAAGCACAAAGCACACCATCCTCCATTTCCTACGGCGCACCCGATGGCAACATGCACAGATAGAAGAGGAGGCAGAGAAAGATAGAAGACAGAGGTTGTTCCTTGACCAGTAGAGCTAAGTAGCTTCGTCATACATGTAGAACTACCAGCGCGGGAAGCAGACATGGGGGTCTGGGTAAAGCACGAGCGCCACCTTGTGATTTCCTCTGTCGTGGAGAAGCAGCTACAACAGATGCGTCGGCATTCGCTAGGGACAGCAAAGCTTGCGATCTCTGTGACGTGTCCAAGGAGATACACAAGTTCACCGGAAAACCGCCCGGGCGCATAAAATATGAAGGGATATAACCAATTGGATAAAGCCAGTTGAAGGCTCTTGAGAGGGAAATACGGCGTTGTCTTCATTGGCTCTGGATAGGGTAGATTATCGCCGTCCATCGTGTAATACCTTATCCTGC